CGGGGGGTCATGGTTGTGGGGTCTGGGGGGTTGGTTCTGGGTGGTGGGAATGGGAAGCCCCATCCCCAGGCAGATGTGGGGTCCTTGGGGTGGTGGAAAAGAGGGTCTAGGAGGCATCTGGGGCAGTTTCCTTGGGTGGGTTGGGGACACGGAGGGCCCACTCAGGGCTGGGGGACGTGGTTGTGGGGTCTGCAGGGTTGGTTCTGGGTGGTGGGAATGGGTGGTCCCCTCCCCAGGCAGATGTGGGGTCCTTGTGGTGGTGGGATGGGGAAACGGGTGCCTTGGGTGGGTGGGGGACAATGGGTGGCTGGGGGACAATGGGGCCACCACTGGGGACCCTGGGCGGGGGGGGCTCACCCGGCCCCATGTCCCCCCCAGGGAAGTCAGCTCTGCACTGGGCCGCTGCCGTGAACAACATGGAGGCGACGCTGGCGCTGCTCAAGAACGGGGCCAACAAGGACATGCAGGACAGCAAGGTGAGGGGACGTCCCCTGGGCCCCAAGGCCCCAAAGAGAGACGCCCCTTGGCCTCGGGTCCCCAAGGGTCCCCGTTGGCCCCTGTCCCCAAAGGGAGATGCTCCATGGCCTCATGTCCCCAAGAGGAGATGGTCCCTGACCATGTCCCCAAGTTAAGATTCCCCAGTGCCCCATGTCCCCAAGGGGAGATGTTTCATGGCCCCAAGTCCCCAGAGGGAGATGCCCCATGGTCACCTGTCCCCAAGTGAAGATGCCCTATGGTCACATGTCCCCAAGAGGAGGTGTTCGATGGCTTCATGTCCCCAAGGGGGGACACTCCATGGCCTCATGTCCCCGAGAGGAGATGCCGCATGGCCCCATGTCCCCAAGAGGAGACACTCCATGACTCAATGTTCCCAAATGAAGACACCCATGGCCCCACGTCCCCACAGGGAGACACTCCAAGACCCAATGTCCCCAAATGAAGGCACCCCATGGCCTCACGGCCCCAAGGGGAGACACTCCAAGACTCAACGTCCCCAAGTGAAGACACCCCATGGCCCCAAGGGGAGATAACCCAAGACCCAATGTCCCCGAGTGAAGACATCCCATGGCCTCGTGTCCCCAAGGGGAGACATCCCAAGACCTAATGTCCCCAAAGGAACACACCCCAAGCCCCCAGAGGGAGACACTCCAAGACCCAATGTCCCCAAGTGAAGACATCCCATGGCCCTAAGGAGGAGACACTCCAAGACCCAATGTCCCCATGGGAAGACATCCCATGGCCGCCGGTCCCCAAGGGGAGACACCCCAAGACCCAATGTCCCTGAGTGAAGACATCCCATAGCCTCGTGTCCCCAGTGGGAGACACTCCATGACTCAATGTTCCCAAATGAGGACACCCCGTGGCCCCACATCCCCAAAGGGAGACATTCCAAGACCCCATGTCCCCAAATGAAGACACCTCATGGCCCCACAGTCCCAAGGGGAGACACTGCAAGACCCAATGTCCCCATGGCCCCAAGAGGAGACACCCCAAGACCCAATGTCCCCAAGTGAGGACATGCCATGGGGGAGACACTCCAAGACCTAATGTTCCCAAGTGAAGACACCCCATGGCCTCATGTCCCCAAGGGGAGACAGTCCAAGACGCAATGTCCCCAAGTGAGGACATCCCATGGCCTCATGGGGGAGACACTCCAAGACCCAATGTCCCCGAGTGAAGACACCCATGTCCCCACGTTCCCAAGGGGAGACACTCCAAGACCCAGCGTCCCCAAGGGAAGGTGCCCCATGGCCCCATGGCCCCAAATGAAGACACCCCATGGCCCCAAGAGGAGACATCCCAAGACCCAATGTCCCCAAGTGAAGACATCCCATGGCCTCATATCCCCAAGGGGAGACATCCCAAGACCTCATGTTCCCAAATGAAGACACCTCATGGCCCCAAGGAGAGACACCCCAGGACCCAATGTCCCCAAGGGAAGACACCCATGGGTGAGACACTCCAAGACCTAACGTCCCCACGGGAAGACATCTCATGGCCTCATGTCCCCAAGAGGCGACATCCCAAGACCCAATGTCCCCAAGAGAAGACAT